TAGACAGTCATTTCTGGCTGTGAACCTCCTCATGGTGCTGTTTGCTGTGACAGCAAGCTTTGCTCTGCTGTTACCTTTTCCAGCGGTCTTAGGATATTTTAAAACTTGTGTTTTGGCTCCCTTGTTACCTGGCGCTGTTTGGTTTCAATGCATTTGGATTTTCCTGTAGTTCCTGCTGTTGCTCTCTGGCTCAGCCCACTGCAGTCAGAAAACAGGGTTAGGATGATTTGCTCCTGGCTCTGTGATGATGTCATTTGTGACCCTGATGTGTTATCTGTCATGGAGTCTGTGTCTGTGGGAAGATGTGTTTCCTGCTGTTGAGTTCATCTGTTCATCCATGTGGCCCTGCTGTCCCCTCACAGACTTTCGAGGGGAGATGGTCATGGCAGAGAGTGGGGTACAGACATCGCCTATTATTACTGTACTTCCATCCATCTCTCCAGGCCTGATGACTTTTGCCTTGTGTGTGGCTGCTTTTATGTTGGATGCATGAATATTCATAATTATTTTCATGTTCAATCCACTTAAAAATATAATTAATGATCTTCATTGTCTCTTGTGGGAGTTGATCTTGTTTAGTATAACCACAGCTACCTCCATTCATTTCCATTTGCATGGGAGAGATTTTTCCATATCTTCATTTTCAGCTTGCCTGTGTATAACAATAAGTGAGTTTCTTGTAAACAGCATATCGTTGGGCCATTTTTGTTGTTGGTAGGCGTGTGTGTGCGTGTGTGTGTGTGTGTGTGTGTGTGTGTGTGCATGGTGGTTAATGTCATATATCCTTTTAAGTATTTTCTTTACTTTTTTTTGAGAGAGAATCTCTCACTGAATTTTGAACTCACTGATTGGTTAAATTAGCTGCCCAGAAAGTCCTGTGTCTGCCTCCCCGTGGTGGGATTAAAGGTGGCCTTAAAACTATTCTTAGTAAAATTCTCTGTATGAATAAAGCATTTGCTTATGGTAAAAACATTAAACAACAGAGAAAGTTAAAAAATGGAGACCGAGAACATTCTGACTTCCTCCTCTCTTGACTTCTCAACCCCAAAATCTATCTGTAAATGTTTTAATGAATTTTCTCAGAACTTTGCACACATATGATGAAACTGTGTATATAAAAATAGATTTATATGTGTAGGCATATCTCCTTTATCTCCACCTAATTGGGATTTTATATGTGTTATTCTGGAACTTTCTTTTAGTCTACAATATATCCTGAAAAAAGGGTCCTACCAGAACATACAATACATCCATGCTGCTTGGAGCAATAAATATGCAATCCCACCAAGCTCTGCAGATTTTCCTCCTGGCTGTTGCTTTCCCTCTGCAATTTTCCTAGTAGGAAAGTATCATGTTTCCATGTCTACACATCCCTTGGTTTCTAGTGGGGTTAGGTCAGTGGGAGAGATTTATAGAAGTAAGATTATCAGGTCAAAGGTATATGAATTTAAAAATTGACAGGCCATCAAATATCCCTTCCTCAAAAGATATTTACCCATGCGCATTCAGCATAATGTTTATCAGAGTGTCTTTTTACTGTGGTACCAAGTGTTTTAAAATTTTAACTAATTTATTTGTTGCATCTCTGCGTGGAGGTACACACGTGTCCCACATGTGTAGCAGCCAGAGAACAACTTGAGGGAATCACTTTTCTTCTTCCACTACTAAGTGTGTCCTGGGGATTGAACTCAGGTCTTTAGGCTTAGCAGCAGTCTCCCCTATCTGCTGAGCCATCATGCTGGTTCCTTTACTTAGGTCTTACCCTGTACTGAATAGTGGTAAATATCTTACCAGTTAAGTATTTAATTACTGAGTGCTGCCACCTGTCAGGTCCCTTTGAGTGACTTGAATCTCTGCGTGTGTGTAATGGTCATTAGTGTCTTTATATCAAATGACTGCTTTTCTGTTGGCTGTTTTTACTTAGTTATTTACCAGGACTTTCTGTTTATGAAGGAGATGAACTTTGCTTTACATGATGCATTTTCTCTACTTAGTGTATTTCTACCTTTGTCTATAGCATGTATTTCCCTGTATAGAAGTGTTTGTGTTTTAGTCAAAAGTCTTTGTTTTTTTGTTTTGTTTTGTTTTTTGTTCTTTTGCCTTTTGGAACCTTTAAAACCACTTAGGTTATTGTCAGGGTGATATCCCCCAGACTCCTTGGAGTGTTGCTTTGTGTCTAGGTTAATAGTCAGGGCAGGAGGAACCTTGTATATCCCTGGCTGGGCTGGCTGTGCACAGTAGCTGAACTCCTTGGCTCCTGAGCCTCCAGGGACAGACAGTAAGGTTGCCACATGGAGTCCTCAAGTAATTGATCCCTCAGCCAAGCATTGGTGGCGCACACCTTTAATCCCAGCACTCAGGAGGCAGAGGCAGGCGGATCTCTGTGAGTTCGAGACCAGCTTGGACTACCAAGCGAGTTCCAGGACAGCCTCCAAAGCCACAGAGAAACCCTGTCTCGAAAAACCAAAAAAAAATGTAATTGATCCCTCATACTGGGGTCTGAGCATTCAGGCTGAGGGCTGGTGACATAAGTAAATCCATTCTTCAGCCTCTACTCATAACCAAAGCCTCCAAGCTCTGGGCCTGGCTCATCAGTGTCTTGCACAAGGCCTGGGTTATGGCGGTAGGGACCGTTAGAGCACCTGGCATGCTTACCCAGGCCAATGCCAATGTATAGCAGAGGAGGCAGCAGTGCAGCAACACAGACAGCAAGTGTCAGAGCCGGCCCAGAAGCAAGGTCTTCCTGTGGCCCTCTGATCCTCCCAGAACCCTTGACTTCTCCTTGGCTTGGGTCAGTTGTCCTGAACTCTCTCTGTAGATGGTCGTGTCCCTGCCTCTGTGTTGCCGTGGCAACCATACTCTGGCTCTTTGCATGGAGCTTCGCAGGAGACCCCTTGACCAGCTCTGAAGACGAAGCAGCTTTAGCACTGCATGCCGCCCATGCCCCGCAGCCCACTTTGGATGTGCGTTTGAGACTGTCTTCAGAACAGCAGGGTTGGAGGTTTTTGGGTCTCCTGTGATGGCATGGGGTAAAGGAAAACCCCTCTCTCCTGCTCAGTAGAGGTTCTGGGTGAGGAGATCAGGGCTGAGTCATGCAGATGTGGGTGGAGTTTTCCCCACCTCCTCCTGGACAGCAAAGGGCACAGATGTGTCCATGTCTTCAGGTTCCAGAACGTCCCACTTGTCCCTCTTCCAAGCAGGGTGCCCAAAGCTAGGCATGAGAAGCTGGACGATGAAGGGATGAGCTGCTGAAGATCCCAAGTTCAGAACCATGGACAGAAGCCAGGCTGCCTGCAATAGGATTGTCTGTGTGACCAGGAAGCTGCGTGGGAGGGACCATTGGGAAGAGAGAATAAAAGCTCATCTCAGACTGCCCTTCAGAGACTGGAACCCTGGGTTACAGGCTCTAGGAAACTCCTTTGTGTTGGGGAATGATGAGAGGAGGCAGAGCTGATATGCTATGATGCCTGTTGTCCTAGTTAAAGTTAGCATTGTTGTACTGAAACATTGTAACCAAGCACCTTGGGGAGGAAACAGTTTGTCATTGAAGGGAGTCAGGACAGGAACTTAAACAAGGCAGGAACTTGGAGGCAGCAGCTGATGAAGAGGCCACGGAGGGGTGCTGCTTACTGACTTGTTCCCTCTGTCTTGCCATGTGGTGTAGACCTCCAGCCCAGGGATGGCACAACCCACAAGGGGCTGGACCCTCCCCTATCAGTCACTAATTAAGAAAATGCTCTACAGGCTTACACACACTTCTGATCTTGTGGAGGCATTTTCTTAACCCAGGCCCCCTCATCTCAGACAAGTTGACATAAAACTATCCAGTGCATCCTTGATGTCTCAAGGTGGAGAGCTCTATGGTCCAGCTTCTCAACTTCATCAAAGAAATAAGGCTTGGCTCATCTCCAGAGGCTGGAGTCCACTGGCACCATTGCTCTGGCAATGCGCAGCTACATCTGCAAGGCTTGGGGATGCGCTGCTTGCTCCTGTGTGATCTAGCTTCCCGGTTGCTGGTCTCCAGATGTGTGTCTGAAATACTGCGGTATGGTCCATGGGGTCAGGCGCCCCTGGTTGGTACTGTTGCCACGCTCTGGGCTCTCACAGGCCACACTAAGGCCAGGCTGGCTGCACCAGGCTGCATTGTAGCTTCTATACATGAAGCATGTGGTGGGAAAGGTACTGTCTGCATTGCTGTGGAGGTTGGCTAGGAGGTCGCAAGCCTGGACATCCCCACCCCTGCCCCACAACACAGAGGGCGCTTGTGTGTGAAAGGAGAGCCAGACGGGTGTGCGACACATGCCTAGTTTTTCTTGGGTATTCCCACCATCCCCAGTTCCCACTGGGAAATCATCTTTTCTTCTCATAGGGAAGTGAGTTGCATTCAACTTCCTAGCCTGTTCTTGACCCTTCCTAAGGAACCCGAAGAGCTGCACATACACAGCTTCCCTTGGGGAGGCTGTACCTTGAGGATGCAATGGAAGTTTCCTTTCCTCACTTGTTTCTCCCTGGGGCCTGGGTCTGTAGAGACCCACGCATACCCAGGAATTATGTTGGTAATCCCTGATCCTTCCATTTAGACAGGCAACTTGGCTAGCAGTGTCCCTGCCTGTAAAGGGAAGCCTTTTCCGTGTCAGCTGCTTTGGTTTATCACCTGCCAGTCGCCTGGGCTCTGCTGCGTTGTAGTCCCCATATAACACACAAGACGCTGATTTAATTATGAAGCTGTTGGCCTTGCTTGTTTCTTACTGGCTAGCTCTGACTTAAGTAATTACCCCATAATTGTTAATCTAAGTATTTCTCTTACTGGAGAATAGTTCCGGGCTTCCTACCCCATGGCATTACATCTTGACTCTCTGTGTTTCTCCTTCCCAGAGTCCTCCTGGACTCCTAGTCCCACCTATCTAGATTCCTATTGGCCAACAGTGCTTTATTGACAGGACTTCCCACATCACCTGCCGATCAGATAGCAGTAACCGTCAAAAGGAGAGGCTGCCAAAAGCAGGTGTGTGGCTTTCTGTTTGAGGCCCTGGCCTGCAGCAGATCCAGCTTGCTTCCCAATTCCCATCACCTTTGTGGTAGTCCTGGAACACCAAACCCTCCGTGGCCCACGGTCTCCTTAGCCCAGTCTGCAGGTGAGTAGTACCTGTGCCCCCAGATGGTAGAAAACCCTTTAAGATGAATCAAAGCTGCTCATGCTTCCAAAGATTAAATTCTATCCAGAATATTAAGTAGTTTCCCCTTCAGTGATCCCAGTACGTTTAATTATCTCTTGTTCTCCCAACAGAGTTGTCTCTTGGCTTCTGAAATGCTGTATTCATGAGGAAGGAGGCCCACAGCCCTGTAGTTTTTGAGGCTGGACCATATTCCTTATAGCTTTTCAGACATAGGCACACAGCTCATCAGCTGCTGGGGTGCCTAGGGCCCTGGTGGGAAGTAGCCAGGGACACAGGGATCATGGGGCAGTGTTAGAGGGCTGCTGGGTGCCCTCTGTCAGGGTGTCACGCAAGGAGCAGTTTGTACTCCTAAGACCTTAAAGGGCTGGCATCCTTCCCGAAGTAGGAGCAGATCATGGGGACTCGCCTGCCCTTTGTCCTGTCCCTTGAGTCATAAATATACACCTGTGTTGATCAGGCCACGGGCCATTTTCCACCAGAGGCTCCATGAGTTGGTGTATCTTCCTGTGACGAGCAAGGGTTTCTTGAGGAGGTTCCATATAGGAGATCCCTGGGACCTGTCTCCGTGGGAGAAGCATTCAGTGGCAAGGGAGCAAGGAGAGGCCTGTGTCCCAGAGAGCAGTGGGCAGGACCTCCCACCCTTGGGTCAACCCTGGCTCCTCTTGGCTTGCTCCAAGCAGGGTGCTGAGGATGGAGGCCAACTGGTCCAGGCCAGGTTTCCAGGGGGCAGGCAAGCTCACCATTGTTGCGCTGCATTATCTGGAGAGCCTGATGCTGCCTGCAAGCTCTGGGCTGAATCCTCAAGACCCCTCCAGAGTCAGCCCCTCAAGCCAAACACAGGGGAACCGCTGGCCCTCTGCTTAGCCGGTTCTTTAGTGCCCACACCTTGTTTTTGCCCCAGTGCTCACAGTTTCAGACCTGCAAACCTTTCCCCCACTCCCCCCCTCCTCCTCCCTCCTTTTCTCCCTCCCTCCCTCCCTGCCTTCCTTTCTCTTTTTACAAATTTAAAAAGATTTATTCATTTTTATTTTACACATACGACAGCTTTGCTTGCACATGTGTCTGAACACCGTACGTGTGCCCAGTGCCCATGGAGTTTAGAAGAAGATGGTTAAGAGCCACCACGTGGGTGGTGGGAACTGAACCCACGTCCTCTGTAAGAGCAACCCGCGCTCTTAACCGTGAAGCCATTTCTCCAGCCTCCCTTTTTCTCTCTCCATTTTTTTTTTTTTTTGGTTTTTACGAGACAGGGTTTCTCTGTATTGTTTTGGAGGCTGTCGGTCCAGCCTGGTCTAGAACTCACAGAGATCCGCCTGCCTCTGCCTCCCAAGTGCTGGGATTAAAGGCGTGCGCCACCACTGCCCGGCCCCTTTTTCTCTTTTTAAGACAGGGTTTCATGTGGCCCAGGCTGGCCTCAGACCCACTGGCTGGTGGCAGGAGGGTGACTTTGAGCTTCTGATCCTCTTGCCCCCCAAGTGCTGGGACTGTAGGTGTTCCCTTCCATGCCCAGCTTATAGTTACAATTTCTAGCAGGGGCTTGTGTATCTTTTAAATTCTCTGCTCTCTTTCTTGCACCCCGTCCAGGGTCTCATGTAGCCCAGTCTGTCCTTGAACTCACCGTGTAGCCAAGGATGACCTTGCGCGTCTGGTCCCCCTGCCTCCAGCCCTCAGGTGCTGGGATTACACAGATGTGCCGTCACCCTGATTCAGACAGTGCTGGGGATTGAACCCAGAGCTTCATGCATGCTAGGTGAGTGCTCTACCAACTGGACCACACCTGCCCCTTCTCCCGCCTCCCCTGATGTGTTTCTTAAAAGGTCTGTGGTGCCTTCTGTAATCCAAAAATACGTGTGTTCCTTCCTACTGCGGGTCTCACCCGGGGTTGGGGGTCATGTCGGGGGTTCCATTGTCCTGATGTTAGAGACCCACCTTAGAGGGTCTGAGGTCCTCAGAATCTTTACTGTGGGCTGTGGCGTGGTCTGGACATCCAGAGTTTGACTCTCCCAGGCAATCTGTGTGTAGGACGTGAGCCAGACTCCTGCTCCGGAACCCTTGTGACCCTTGTCCCCTGCGCTAGCTGGTTAGTCACTTTGGAGGCTCCCTGACTAAAATGCTGTGTGGGGTTGGCTTGTTACTTCTGTGGAGGAAGGTCTCCCTAGACTCACAGCTTCTTTGGGTGCAGTCCGTCCTGGAGGAGAAGGTATGGAACAGTCCAGTCCATGGTAGGGAGAGCAGAGGTGCAGGCTGCTCACTCAGGAAGCAGAGAAAATCAGGCAGGATTCAGGAGAGCGTGTCCTTTCCTTCAAAGACTGATCCTACTTCTCCCAGCTGAGCCCCACCCCCGAATGTCTCCTTAGCCTTCAAAACATTGCCACCATCTGGAAACGAGTGCCATAGACAGGAGACTACAGGAGAGTTTCGAAATCAAACCTTTAACGGGGGCCTACTTGGTCCCAACTGACTGCATGGTTAGGAGGTTGTTGCTGCCTCCTGTGTGTGCCTGGGTGGGTGGGTGGGGGGCTCTCATCCTCGTTCATACTCTTTACTCTGTAGAAGCGCACCCCTGTGTTCTGAGTAAGTCCTGTGAATCCTGGTTATTTAGCCTGTCAGAGCCTCAGTGTCCTTTTCTGTCTCCCAGAGGCTGGAAGGCTGACCCCATAACATCAACACTCAGAGCCCTCTGAACAGTTAGTTATCTGGGGGCAGGGCCCAGGGTGTGTGTGTGTGTGTGTGTGTGTGTGTGTGTGTGTGTGTGTGTGTTGGTGAAGTGTTTGCCACACAGCTGTGAGGCCTGAGCTGGGATCTCGAGCACCCACAGAAGCTGGGCATGGCTGTGTGCCTGTGATCCCGGTGCCGAGGAGGAGGAGACAGAGGGATGCCAGGGTTGGCTGCCCAGTCACTGCAGTCTAAGAGGAAAGCTGAGTGGGAGACCCTGTCTCAAAAGCTAAGGGGGAGACCTGGGGAGGCAGCTGTGGAAGTGTCCCTGGTCTCTCTCTCTCTCTCTCTCTCTCTCTCTCTCTCTCTCTCTCTCTCTCTCTCTCTCTCTCTCTCTCTCTCTCTCTCTCTCTCTCTCACACACACACACACACACACACACACACACACACGGTGATGATAAAGCTTCCAAAATATGAGTTTGAATTATGATCAGCCCAGGTAGGTGTCTTCATGGGAGGGCCTCACTGGAGTGTGAGAAATGTCCCTCCTGCCAGGCTGTGTGTGGAGGCCAGCTGAGCAATTTTCAGCCTAATCCTGGAAGGCACTCTTGAGGGGGGGGTGGGTAACATGCAAGGAGCCATCCTCCCCTCTTCCTTCAGGATGAACAAAGCCACCTCTTGGTCCTTTCAGAACACAGTTCTGAGCAAAAGACAATGGTGTGTTTGCATAATCAGCATTGGACAGAGGGGCTGGGAGGGGCTGTGGGGGCATGGGAGGGGCTTGGGGGCATGGGAGAGGCTGTGGGGGCATGGGGGGCTGTGGGAGGGGCTGTGGGGGGCTGTGGGGGCATGGGGAGGGGCTGTGGGGGGACTGAGGGAGGGGCCGTGGGGGGCCGTGGGGGCATGGGAGGGGCTGTGGGAGGTGCTGGCCCTGTCTTCCATGCCACAGTGCCCTCTCCTTTGAAGGTGTGAAACATGTTCAGGACTTCTCAGAACCTTCCAGGTGGTCCTGGCCTTACCAGGGCGGCTCCTGTCCTTCCTTGCCTTGAAGGGAAGCAAACTGACTCTAATATTTCTAATCATATTTGAAAAAAATACTTCGTAGGCTTTTCCTGATTATAAATGCAATTCAGATCCAATTGAGTCAATTTAGAACATGTAATCAAATTAAAATTTAGAAAAAGAAAACACAAAGTCACCTGTTGTCCAAATTTGTAGAGGAAGTGGCTGCAGGCCTCCACCCTGCTGCTCTCCTCCTTCAACCCCTCCCGTGGCTTATAGACACTCCGCAGTGCCCTCCAGTATCTTCCATGATAGGATATTTTAATGAGTCGCCAACTATTTACCAAGCACCCCGGCGTTGGACGTTGGGTTTGTTTTCCGTCTTTTGATGTTAGCCACGACGCCTAGGACATGCTGATGCATAAATCTTTCTAGGTAAATCTCCACGTTTGCTTGTGAACGTCTCCTAGGGTGAATCCTACAAGTGAGACTGCCGAGCTGAAGCTTAGCCGCACGCCAGAAGCGTTTGATCAGCGCCCCACCCTGACCTCCAGAAAGATGAAGGTAAATGCGGGTCCCACCGGAAAGCATCAGGGCGGTCACGTGTACCCCCACACCCCTCCCCCATACCTCTGCTGTCCACCCCCCCCCCCCGAGTCACCAGCAGGTCTGGTGTTTTCCTTTTGATTTGCATTGCTTTGGTGACTGGCGAGGTCCAACTGCTTTGGGTCATTTGTGAGTCTTTCTTCTGTGGGTTGCCTCTTCCAGCCCTGCCTGAGATGGTGTCCTCCAACATATGTGTCCATCTTTGGCATTTAAAGATGGAGTTGGAGAAGATGGCTGTGCGAGTGTGTGGGATTGTGGACGAAAATATTGACAGAGATGTCAGAACTCCTCTGTGGGCGGATGGGTGGCGGACTTCCTAGATTCTGCTTGGAGCTCTGTCGCCTTGTGGTGCGGGTCACTGAGAGCTTCCCATCTGCCAGGCAGTCAGCGTTTCTGCTCAGGGAGGCACCTGCCTTCTCCCTGCCTGCAGGCTTCTCCCAGAGACAGCTCTGGAGTTAGTGGAGGATCCCCCAGGGGCCCTCTTCTTTTGGGGGGCAAAAGGAGAGTGAGTTGCTCCCCGAGGCTTCTAGGACTTTATCCCTGTCCACGTTATAGTGACACAGGATCCGAAGCAAAACCTGCCCGGCCCATCTCCAGCTGCATTCTGGGGTCTGATGCACTGGGTGGGGACAGAAGGGTCATTTTTGAAGCCTAGAGACAGGATTGGGGAGGGGGAGGATTTCAGAAGGAGGAGTGAATTTTCTTTTCTTTTTTCTTTTTTTGGTTTTTTAAGACAGGGTTCTCTGTATTTTTTTTTTGGAGGCTATCCTGGAACTTTCCCTGTAGACCAGGCTGGCCTCGAACTCACAGAGATCCGCCTGCCTCTGCCTCCCGAGTGCTGGGATTAAAGGCGTGCGCCACCAACGCCCGGCATGAATTTTCTTGTTGTGTAACTTAGTGTGTGTATACAGGTTCCTGCGTGTGCGCGCGTGCTCATATGTTCCTGTATGTGGGAGTCAGAGGTCAACACTGGGTGTTTTGTAAATCATTCTCCACTTTATTGCCTTGAGACATGTCTTCCTTGTTGCTTTTGAGACGTAATTCACTAAATCTCATCGGCCCAGCAGCCAGACGGACTGGCCAGCAAGTCCCAGGGATCTGCCTGCCACTGCCATGCCGAGCTTTTAACATGGGTGCCGAGGGCAGCTTCTTAATGCTGGCGCAGCAAGCCGCTCATCCATTAAACCCTCACTCTGGGGTTACCCCTGCGGGAAGTGAATTCCTTTGGTGTGGCAGTCCAAGGCTGAGCCCCAGAGGGTCACGGGGATTTCAGTGCCCTTTTCTGGGGTTTCTTATCCTTAAGGGTCCTCTCCACATTTGGTCTAAGACAGTTTTCAATTCACAAGCCTCTTGGGGAGAAAATGTAGGGGGTGTCCTGTCCCTTTAGCACCTGACCTGAAGGAGGCTGTGATGTCATTTCCTTTTCTATCCTATTGGTCAGGATACAGCCACAGGAATATACCTAGTGGCCACACGGGGTGTGATCTGGGACAGGGAGGGACCAGCTTTATTGTCAGGGATGCTGCTGGCATTTGAGATGGGGGGGCTAAGCATCCTGACACCGTGCATGTGCCAGGTATACCGCGTGGAAATCAGAGTATAGTTAGTGGGAGTCAGTTTTCACCTATTGTGTGTTACCTGGGGATCAAACTCAGGTCACCACCTGAGTGGCAGTTACCCTGACCCCCCCCCCCCCCACCATCTCAATGCTGATTTTTACATCAGAGCAGCTCTGGGTCCACTGGGGAGCCACTTACTCCCTAGAACGTGGTGAATCAGCCAGGCCAGGGAAATGACCTGTGAATCCAGCCCTGGCTGAGGCAGAGGCCTCCCCTTCCCATTTCGAGAATGTGCAGAGAATACTGGGCAGGAAGTATCTCTGCCCGGGTTAGGGTAGGGGGCTGTTAGGAGATGCTTTTGCGAGGACCAGCACAGGGAAGCTCCTTGTCCCCCTTGTCCCCTGGCCAAGGCCTCTCTGAGCTTCCTTCCTCCACATCCTCCCCTCTGGTCCCGTGCCCTTCACCCTCATCGGGCTGTGGAAGATGCCAGATGCCACATGTTGCCCCAGATATAGATTGCCACCGTCGTCTCCATAAGCGTAGCATGTCCCTGCTCTGTTTACATAATGAGCAATTTCCCATCAATTATTCACCAGCACATCTTTCTCTGCAGCAGCCACGGATAGGAGCTTCCCACTCTCCTCATCGGCTGTGCTCCCCGGGACTCAACAGCTCCCCACCCCACCCCCATTTGTGAGAGAGAAACAGACAGAGGCAGAGAGAGAGGCCTATTACTGTTCGGTTCGTTTATTAAAATTTTTTTAAAAGGTCAGGGAGATAGAGCATTAGGTAAGGTGTTTGCTAGGCAAGACCTGAGTTCAAATCCCCCAAACCCAGGTTAAAAAGCCAGGTATGGTGGCTCATGCATGTAGCCGCAATACGGGGGGAGGAGAGAGGAGGGGCAGAGTCAGAAGGATCCCAGGGTTTGGCTGGGCAGTCACTCTAGCCGAGATGAGCAGCTTCAGATTCACAGACGGTAATAGAGGAAGACACCCTGAACTGGTCTCCATACACGCACACACAGGTGATGGTGCATTTGCATACACCACACATGTCAAATGAAGATGTATGTCCACATGAATGTTCTCGGCCGATTGATCTGAATTACCCACCCTCCCAAGACTGGAAGCAACTAAAATGTGAATGGATTCCATGAGTAAATTAACTGAGATATACTCAAAACTCTCCACCTGGTAGACTATTACTCATCAGTGGAAAACGAGCAAACCTGGAAGCACGCATCCGTGCAGACACCTCTTTGGGATTTTTCTGAGAGAAAGAAGCCAGGAAAACCTAGCAGGTGCTCTGTTTCATGTATATAAGATTCCAGGAAAATGTAAGCGTACTCGTGTTAAACAGATGAGACAGGAAGTAGATCATCGTCTGGGTACAAGCAGAGGGAACTCCTGAGGTGGCATCACAGACGGATGGCCCGATGACCCCGGGAGTGTGTTTGGTGCACAAAGCAGGGATTGCCCACCCGGGGGAACACCGTGTGACAGGACTGAGACCAAAGGGGAGACTCTGAGGGGGCTCATGATGACAGCAGGCGCTCAACAAAAGACCACTTGTGGGTCACATTTGTTGGGAGCAGCTGCCCACCCCCCCACCCCGCCCCGTGTTCAGAAATGGTGCACACGACCCAGCCCAAAGTGGGGCAGTGAGTGTCTTCTCAGTAACAGAGAGGGTGGGAAACCCCGCATCGTGGGAAACCCTGCATTGTGGGAAACCCCGCATCGTGGGAAACCTTGCATTGTGGGAAACCCTGCATTGTAACCCCCCCATGCCTCTGTTTGCTGCAGGTTCAGTCCATACAGGAGAGAGTGTGCAATTCCAGGGGAGCTGTCAGGGTGGGCCGTGTGGTCTGAGAACCTCTGCAGGACCGTGCGCATATATGTGTGTATAGACATGGGCGCACGTGTGTGTGTGTGTGTGTGTGTGTGTGTGTGTGAGAGAGAGAGAGAGAGAGAGAGAGAGAGAGAGAGAGAGAGAGAGAGAGCCTGTGGCTGACCTAGCTCATGGTTTTGTAGGGAGCCACGGCCACTGCTTTCCTTATCGTCCATGACCCCAGAAGGTGCTTCCTACAGAAACGTCCAGTCATGCTCAATGATGCTTATTATTGGTCAACTTGATAGAGTCTAGAATCACCCAGGAGACAATCTCTGAGCACACCAGTGAGGGATTATCTAGATCAGGTTAGCCCCCTGGCACTCCAGTGAGGGATTATCTAGATGAGGTTAGCTCCCTGGCACACCAGTGAGGGATTATCTAGATCAGGTTAGCCCCTTGGCACACCAGTGAGGGATTATCTAGATGAGGTTAGCCCCCGGCACACCAGTGAGGGATTATCTAGATCAGGTTAGCCCCCTGGCACACCAGTGAGGGATTATCTAGATCAGGTTAGCCCCCTGGCACTCCAGTGAGGGATTATCTAGATTAGAGTATTGAGATGGGAAGAGCCCCCACAGATGTGGACAGTGCCATCCCACGGGAGTGAATAAGAGGGGAACTGAGTGGAGAACCAGCACATCTGTCTTTGCTTCCTGACTGCAGATGCAATGTGACCAGCAACAGAAAGATGAACAAAGACAGATGGCCAGAGGCAGGCATGGGTGCCAAGGACGGGTTCAGCCGTGGAGGCTTTTCCCACAGACGGGGCTATCCACTAAGGTGGTGAGCGCTTGCCATCAAAGTCCTCCTGAGCAGCCGAATGTTCGGTGAATGCCTTGAGCGCCAGTACTTAGGGGTTAGTTGTAGGAGGAAACAGTACTCTGCCATTAGCCATGCGACTTATTAGAGGCGTATACAGATGAGGCAATAAAAGGGAGGTTTACCGCACCGCTAACCACACCCACTTTAGGCGTGACTAAAGACGTATAAGGACGTAGGCGGTGAACTACGTCACTAGCCAGGCCCATTTTTGGGCGTGGCTAGGGGCGTGTACAGAGGAAGGAATAAAAGAACATCTCGCCTTCTTTCCTGCTTCCAGTTCGGTGGCGAAAAACTACTCGGCTCATCTGGGTTGCTTGTTTTTCTCTTGTGAGTAATTTCTACAATAAATACTTATACTTTCAATAAGTGTCCACTTATCGTTGCAGCACCAGTTAGGGAAGCAGATTTCTGTGAGGATGAGGCTAACCTGGTGTACACAGAAAATTCCAGGCTAGTCAAGGCTATGTCGTGAGACTGTATCTCAAACAAAACAAAACAACAAAACAAGACACCCCTCTCCAAAATGATGATGATGATGACTGACCCTGTCTGTCAAGGAAGGTGGAGGTCCACATGGGTGTCAGGGTCCACTTGTATGAAGCTCATCTTCCTCTGTTATTGAAGCCATGTCCTTCATTCACGGCCACACTAGACAGACGGGTTAAAACAATGCTGTCAACCAACAGCTACCACAGTGACAGAAACTGAGAGCGAGGGGAGGGCAGGGTTCTCTACAGCCTTTGAGGGAACATGGCCTTGCTGATACCTTCTCTTTGAGTACATTTTTTTTCTGTTTCTGCGACAATTGTGCATGTGTGTGTGTGTGTGTGTGTGTGTGTGTGTGTGTGTGTGAGCGCTTGCACGCGGCTCACATGTTGTCCTAACTTGCTTCTCTGTCTCCTTGATAAAGCACTGACTGAGAGTGACTCGGTGAGGAAGGCTTCTTCACATGGCTTCCAGGGTCTGGACACAGCCTTCACACTTTGCTGGTAAGTGCCCTACCCACTGAGCCCTGTCCCTAAGTAGTCCAGGCTGACCTGGAATTTGAAATCTTCCTGCCTCAGCCTCCCGAGTTCTGGCATGGCAGGGGTGTGAGTTCACACCTGACTGACTGACCTTTCTAATGGGAAAGCACTGATTTGTGAGACTTGGTTGTGGTGGCCTCAGGGCCCCCTGCCGGGGCCGCCAGGAAGCTCTGGAACCCTATCCCGGTGTTCGGCAGAACTTCAAATCAAACAGGGAATTTCTACTGTTTTTAGGATGCTGCCCACCCCTTCTAAGAATTTGGTGCTTCTAGTCAATATTTTCACATCCACAAACGTTTTAATGAGATTAAGTCTTGGCTGGGACTGTGGAAGGAGCGTGTGGGCTCCTTGCTTCTGTCTCTCGCTCGGGAGCACAAATCCAGCGCAGGCCCTCGTTATTTCCTGGCTCCCTTTCCCCGTCTGCCCCCCAGGGTCTCTTCCAATTCCTCCCCTGTGGCTTTCTCCAGTCTTCCAGCAAACCTAGCCCACATCTGCTTCCTGCTGAAAGGATTCTGGGAACCAGGAAGAGCCATTCACACCCCGATGCTTGTTTTTCCCTGCACAATTGCGAGCACCTGGGCCTCTCTGGAAGCACAAGTCAGGCTGATTCTCCAGTGTGGCTCCAGATGTTAGTCACCACACGGCCACCCCTCTCTTCTCCATCATCCTCCCGAAAATCCAATTGTCCAAAGAAGGATGTGCGCTCCGCCATCCCAGAGCCCGCACCTCCTCTCCGTTCAGGACCTCTGTTTAGATCTGGCTGAGCACAGCCACACAAAAGGGACAAGAGCTCTTCTTCCGTGCAACCAGCCTGCACAGACCTCCTTCCTGCAGGATTGCCTGGGGTTGCCTAGCAATCCGACGCCACCCTGCCGCAGCAGACCCAAGGCTCCGATGGATTTTTTTTCCTATTTTTAATTCGTTTTCTGGGTGGGTATTGTTGTACAATCATGGGCTGAGAGGAAAGATATGGTGTGTGTCCCATTTGAGGCAAGTGACTCTCAGAGGCTTCAGAGGGGCGTGCAGACCCCTCTGCAGGCACCCTGTCCTCTGTCCCAGGAGGCTCTTGGAGCTGCCTGTATTCTCTGGTTTTCAAAGTTGAATGGAACCGTCAAAAAATGTTCATTCCTTCCTATGCACTCCAAGGCCATGGCTGCTCCCCCACGATAAAAATGAACTATGCCAGGTATGGTCTGGAGCCCTGAGCTGCCTGCTTACTTCAGACATTTTCCATCCATCTGAGGGAGACAGGATAGCTTGCCAGTGGTTCACCCCCTTTTGGAGAAGTTGGATGTTACCTCTGAAAGTGCCTGGGTCCAGTGCTGGGGCCCCTTGAATAAGATATCAGACGGGAGGTTCATCTGTGGCACCCATTCACTCCCCTCATGTGGAACAGCCCTTGGCAGCATCTGAGGCTGGGTCTACATCTGTAGCTGCTGGGGAGGCTGCAACCTTGGACTTCTCTGTTGAATGAACCAAAGCAGCTGGGCACCTTGTAAGAAGCATAGGCAAGCTGTGGGACACCTACGGGCTTAATAAAGGTTGGTCAGAAGACAGAAATCCATTTAGCTTTACTTTCGTGGACATTTTTTGTTTGTTGCTTTTTGAGAAAGGGTTTCTCTGTGCAGCCCTGGCTGGTGTTCAACTCACAGAGACCCACCTGCCTCTGCCTCCTGAGTGCTGGGATAAAAGGCGTGCGCCACCAACGCCTGGCTTTTCATGGACATTGTATTGTTGAGCATGTCAACTGGCATAGATGGGAGTACAAGGTGATATATATATTTGCCGTGTGTGTGTGTGTGTGTGTGTGTGTGTGTGCATGTGTGCATGCAGGTGCACACCCAGGTTTGTGTGTGTGTGTGTTGTATGCGTGTAGGCCAGAGGTCAACTCAGCTGTTATCCATTTTAGTTTTTTTAAGATCTATTTATTATGTGTACAGCATTTTGCCTGCATGTGTCCCTGCAGGCCAGAAGAGGGTACCAGGTCTCATTACAGATGGTTGTGAGCCACCATGTGGTTGCTGGGAATTGAACTCAGGACCTCTGGTAGACCAGTTAGTGCTCTTAACCGCTGAGCCATCTCTCCAGCCCCACCATTTTAGTTTTTGAGATAGGGTTTCTCATATAACTTGGAGCTCACCAATTGGCTAGACTGGCCAGCCAACCAGTGAGCTTCAGGGATCCGTCTGTCACTGTCCCAACCAGAGTGTTAGGATTACAGACGCAAGCCACCACCACCCTGGGGATCGGGACTCAGGTCCTCATGCTTTTGTTAACTGAGCCACCTCCCAGTCCACACATTATAAAACGGAGTCACACAAGCCCCTGAGTTGCTGCTCATTGATGGAGGAGCCTGGTAGAAGTCAAGAGGGAAAGACCTGGGCCTCAGCTGCCCCAGAGTTTATGAGAGCCCCCGTATGAGCCAGTGTTCTCTCCAGGGACAGAACGGGTGGAATATATATATATCATATATTTCTTTTTCTTTTTTCTTTTCTTCTTTTTTTTTTTCTGAGACAGGGTTTCTCTGTGGCTTTGGAGGATGTCCTGGAACTGGCTCTTGTAGACCAGGCTGGTCTCGAACTCACAGAGATCCACCTGCCTCAGCCTCTCAAGTGCTGGGATTAAAGGCATGCGCCACCAATGCCTAAGGAGATTTATTAGATGGGCTTACAGGCCATTTGGGTATCCCAGCAACAGCTGTCTCACACTATAAAGGCTGAGAATCTGCCAGTTGTTCAGGCCATGCGGCTGGAGGTCTTCACAGTCCCAGGCTGGTGCAGAGGGTCTGAGGATTCCTGACCCTTCAGTCTACACTGGGAGCTCAAAGACGCTGGCCCTTTATATCAGGTGAAGGGTGCGGACACACCAGTGTAGATGGGCTCACCAGCAAGAGTGAGAGCAAGCAGGCGAAAGGCAGCTTCCCTCTCCTGCCTGACCAACCGTGTCCCTCACCCTAGGGGTGCCCAGCAGCTTTTGTTAGATGATTCCAGATCCAGGCAAATCGATGGGATTACCCACTATAGCCCCTTATGAGGACAGTGAACACACAGGCAGATCGTAGGGATGGGGGCCCAGCTGGGACCCATGTTGGCTGCATGGTGAGGGATGTAGCTGACCTGTCTGTTTCTCTATCCGCTGTGACCAGTCTCCTGTTTCTAAGGACACTTCTGGGGGCTTAAGTGATGGTCTTTAGCTGATACTGGCATGAGTATGGGCAGAGAAGAACCCAGGATAGGTCTGCCTGTCATTGAGAGGGCAGTGGGTGGTGGCGGTGGATGGTGGCAGTGGTGGTGGCGGTGGGTGGTGGCGGTGGATGGTGGCGGTGGGTGGTGGCAGTGGATGGTGGTGGTGGATGGTGGCGGTGGGTGGTGGCGGTGGTGGGTGGTGGCGGTGGGTGGTGGTGGTGGGTGGTGGCGGTGGGTGACAGGGGCAATGGAGGGTTTGATGTGCAGTGTCTCCCTTCTCATCTGGATTAGTGACCTCCTGCCCAGACCGTGGGTTCTCCTCCTGGACCTCTGCTTCATCTCTCCAGTGGGATCCGCTCCATGCCTTCTTCCCTGGTTTTGGGGAACACATCCTGTAGTAGTTGGGAAATAGTGCTAAAAATGAATTTTTTTACGACATTGCTTGCGTAAGTGTCTTCGTTCTGACTTCACGTTTGATTGTTCAGGTTAGGCAAGGGATGCTGGGCCAGAAACCACTACCCACCGTACCCGAAGGCATAGCTCCAGCATCGAATATCTGTTCGCTTGCCCTGGTGAGACTCCTGGAACCATGCCATTCTTGCTGTTTTTCATGGAACCTGAAACTTGAGATTTATTTCTCTTTTCATCTTCAGTGTTTTGCATCCGTGAGAACGTACTTTGACGGGGGTCAATTCCCATCCATTGTGTGGAAATTTCTTGAATTAAATAATTTGTGACGCTCCCTCTGTCTCTCTTTCCTTTGTGCGGATGCCAGCACTCACGAGCACACCATCTAATTTTTCCTCCTTTCTTATTTCCCCCCTCTTTGTCTCTTTGCTTCGCCTTCTGGAACATTCACTTACTTTTATCTTCCAACCAGTCTGCTGAGGTTTTTTTTGTTTCAGCTTGCATGCTTTTAATTCCCCGGCCTTTTTTGTTCTCTAAATGTTCCTAAAATAGCATCCTGCTCCTGGTTCTGGTTGCAATATCTCCTCTGATCTCTTTGAGGATATTAAATATGTCTATTTCTGATATTTTCTCCTCCCTGCCCAGTGTCTGTCTCCTCTACCGCCCCCCCCCATTGCCCCCTCCCTCAGTGGGAAGTTGTTTAGTAGTTTTGCTATCCGAAGAGCTTTGCTGAACCTAGGCTCTCAGCTTTAGGGGAGGGGCCTGAAGAGCTGACCGTAAGTGTTAGTGGGGCTTGTGCCCTGGTGCTTCTGACTGGGAATCCCTAAGGCCAGTGTGGGTTTCTGTCCTGTGGCCTGTCAGAGTTCTGAGGACAGACCCTGGCTCCTGATCCAGAGAGTCAGGATATCTGGCCTGTGGGGCTGAGTGGGATCCTCAGCTTCCCAGGCACTTAGGTGTAGTGGTTGATACCTTGTTTATATTCTAGCATATAAGGCTTGCCTGAAGGAGCCAGCCACAGCCATCTTTACCTCACTAACTTTCCAGCCAAAAAGAGACGGAGCTCCTGTCTCCTTCCTCCTCACCCACCTTGTCACTTCCGGTCTGTCTGTACAGACCTCCAAGACCTCTGTGGTTAACTAGTGACTAGCTCCTCCCTCTGATCTTCAGTCAAGCTTTATTAATTATATAATAATTAATAAGTATAATAAGTATAATAATTAATAATATAATAAGTATAATCAAGATATCTCTACATTTCCCCTTTTTTGTCTAAAATAAAAAAGGTTATAACTAATATAAGAAAAACTATATGCAACAAGTACAATAACTATATACAATATATACAGGCAACGAATACATCAGCAATGTCCAGTCCATTAACCATTGAAATATTCAGAAAAAAATACTCCATATCCATCCTGTCTTGGCGAATCCAAAAGGTTGCACCTAACTCACTTTCTATCCCAACTTGCATTACCAAATCCTTTTAAGTCTCTCAGCTTTATACGCTCTCCACTTCTTTGGCGAATTTCTTTTCCAAATCTGATAACAAGGGAAACTATAACTATAAAATTTTCTCCAGCTCCGTCAGAGTCCCGAGAAGGAAATAATATCACACGAGCAAGCAGGAAGCGCAAGCAGGAGACTTCCAAAAGATGTGAGAAGTGACAGAAACAGCTGGCTGCTTGGACAGTTCCTCTGCCACGTGGGGGCATCCATCTTTGGCCTACAGGCCTAGCATCTCCGACAGGCTTTGCCCGACTCTGGGCTTTTGCCGTTAAGACCTGTTAGGCTCATGCTACACCTAGGGCTCTAAGTACTGACCTTTGCTGCGGCAGGCAGGACTCAATCCAGCTCCCTGGTCTGCCTCCTGTCCTGTTACTTTCCAACAGTGCACAGCGTGGCTGCCCTCCACATCCTTGCTGGGGGGGTCCAAAGCAGCATTAGTCATTTTCTTTCTCATTGCTTGTATGACATGTATGATGATGAAACACATGAAAAAAGCAACTCAGAGGAGGGGTCTACCGTGACTCACAGTTTGGGGGTGCAGCCCCTCATGGTGGGGAGGTCGTAGCAGCAGGAGTGTGAGGCAGCTGGCTGGTCACACCACATCCTCAGCAGGAGCAATGGATGCTGGTGCCCAACTCCATTCCCCCCTTTTTTTTGCTGAGCCAAAAGGATAATATCAACCATTCTGAGGGTGGGTCTTCGCAAGTCAACCCCTTCTAGAGCAACAGTTCTCAAGTTGTGGGTGGCTACCTCACAGGGGTCGCATATCCGACAGCTATTTACATTACGATTCAGAACAGTAGAAGTAACAACAAAAGTAATTTCATGTTTTGGGGGGGTCACCCTGACACCAGGAACTGTATTAAAGGCTTGCAGCCTTAGGATGGTTGAGAACCATTGTTCTAGAGACTCCTACACACAATTAGACACTTGTTTCCTAGGTCCTTCTAGGTCCTGTCAGGTTGATGATAATAATTCTTTTAAAAGGGCCCCTTTTTGTGCCGCAACTGCTTATGATTCCAGCCACAGGGGTTCTGACTCCCTCTTCTGGCTTCTGATGGCACTACACTCATTTGGAGCGTGTACACACACACACACACACACACAGAGTTTAAAAATAAAATTCTCCTAGTAGGAAGACATCCTTGTTAGTCCCTGTGCACACACAGGCCCTGTCACCCTTGTCTGGGCAGATCCTTTGATGGTAGCTGGACCTGCAGGGCGCATGCCCTGGGGCTCTGGGGCCCGTTCTCCACGATGAATTTACTGAACAGGCCATGTGACTGCCCCTGGCTGCAGGAGCCGGCTTCAGTTCGGTACTCTGCTTCCTGAGTGGCTGACTGCTCTGTGTTTGCTGGAACCTGCTTGGTGCCATCTGCAGACCTTCCTGGGAATGGCCTCCAGAGATGGGTGTGAGACTAGAGGTCTGGTTCCGGGTCCCCTCCGAGACTCGAAGCCCACAGCTTCAAGTAACATTCCCTGTCATGTGGAGCAGTGTGGGGGATTCAGTCTTTGATCTCTGGGGGCCTCTCAAGGGCAGGATCAGAAGGGCAGTGGGAACTGGGCCGAGGGGCAGGGGCTCTCGGGGCAGAAGAACCAGGAGGGACAGGCAATGTTGGCCCCCAGGGAGGTGAGTGGCAGTGTGAATGGGAACCTAGCCAGCATCCACAGGCTGCGATGGCCTGTGTCACCTTATCACACAGAGACAAGCAGTTGGTCTGTGGGGCAGAGCTGTGCTATCTCGGATTTGGAGCCGGGGCACATTCAGTGATCCCCCTATGACTGTCCCAGAGACAATGGTTTGGTTGCCGGGCCAGGCTGCTGACTTCCTCCCAAAGCATGGGGTTCCCACAGGGCAAGACAGATCAATGGTGCAGACAGGCCAAAGGACCAGAAATGAAAAGCACCTGAGGTGGCAGCAGGCACTCAGTTTGGACACTGTCTGTCTGTCTGTCCTGGCTCTGCAGGGAAGGCAGCCCAGAGCTGAGAGCTCCCCAGAGCCGTCCTCACCCCTCCCTTCCCTAGACACTCTTCTCTAGTCCCTCCTACCCACAAGGCCCTGGCTTCGGTGGTGGTGATTTTGCATGCCTCAGACTGACAGACAGCTGTCATTAGGGGCAGGAAGGAAGCTGATTGCTCTAGAAACAGCATCCAGCAACCAGGAACAGGGTTTTTTGATCTGCTTCTTTTCTAGACTGGAAATGTGCTTTGAGAGGGCAGGTCCTCCAGTCCAGGCATCGCATGCATGGTGGTTGTCTCTTATATTACAACAGAAGCCAGGTCTAGTCCAAGCTTCTGGGAATCATCTGGGCCCTTTGCTGACCTCTGGAGTTGAATGCCAGGGACCCCCCCACTGTCACACCGGGGCCTCATCATGCTGACTCAGAGGCATTGCCCTCCCTTCCCAAGGCTAGAGATGCCAGACTTCAGACCCCTTGCTAGGCTCCTGTTCTCTGGGTTGAGGGTAGGTGGGGGGGCTGGGGACTATAATTCGGACTCTTCTGATTTCAGGCTGTGGAAATACTGAAGGCCGTGGATCGTCAGCGGGGACAAGTGTATCCTCCCCATCTCCTGTTCCTGGGTGGGCCTCCTAGCTCCTTTGCCACGATTCTCAGGAAAGCAAGGCATGGAACTCCAGGCCTGTTAAGGGTCTTCCCTAGCGGCCAGTTAGGAGGCGCGGGCGCAGCAGACTGGCTGGAGAGGTGTGGGGGAGGGGACATTCATTCCTGCTGCTCAGTAACCAAGTCTTTCTAGGGACCCCTGGGTAGAGGGAGAGAAACCGGTCCCAGCCGGGATGGGGGTGCAAAGGTCCTGCTAAGAGTCGCTAAGGCTGACTCACGCTGAGGTCGCCCAGAGGAAGGGAAGGAGGGAGGGAAGGTGGGATCCTGCGGGGGGGGGGCGGCGCTCGGAGGAGCCCAGCTGCCACTGAGCTCTAGGATACCCTGCAAGCCGTACCACCCTACGCATCCCTGTTCTGCCAGACTGGAGCTGGGACTCCGGGGCTCCTGTGGCCACATTCCATTAGCTCTTGGCCCTCCCTGCCCCGCGGCCCTCCCTAGCCGTGCGACCGCTAGGGCCCCCTCCCTCCCTTGCCGAGCTGCGCGTTCTGCCTGTGCCGCCGCCGCCACCACCACCGCCACTGCTGCCGCGTGCTCCTGCTGCCTTCTGGCTCCAGCCGAGCCAGCCAGAGGAACGAGGGGGGGGAGGAGAGAGAGAGGGAGAGAGGAGAGAGAGAGAGAGAGAGAGAGAGAGAGAGAGAGAGAGAGAGAGAGAGAGAGAGAGAGAGAGAGAGAGAGAGAGAGAGAGAGAGAGAGAGAGAGAGAGAGAGAGAGAGAGAGAGAGAGAGAGAGAGAGAGAGAGAGAGAGAGAGAGAGAGAGAGAGAGAGAGAGAGAGAGAGAGGAGAGAGAGAGAGAGAGAGAGAGAGAGAGAGAGAGAGAGAGAGAGAGAGAGAGAGAGTCGGCGAGGCAAGAAGAGCAGGGACACGGAGCAGTTCCCCCAGAGCCAGCCGAAACCTCCTCGGACAGCAGCCCCAGCAGCTCTTGTAGTCGCCGGAGACGCCGCGGCCGCCACCACCGTTCCAGCCCGGCCTCTCGCGTCCCTTGCCGCCGGCTCGCCGGGGCAGCGGGGATGCAGCTGGGGCATGGCCGCCGGGGCCCCGTCACCTGCAGCTGGGAGCGCTGAACCCGTGAGTAGCCAGACCCTGGGCTTCCACCTCGGTCACGACCATCACGAGGAGCAGCTGGGGCTGTGGGCACGGCCCGGGGAGGGGCACACGGGACCCCGCAGTGGGAGGCGGGGCCGGCGAGGACGCAGGGCTGTGGAGCGTGACCGGGGACAGACCTGAGGTCGCATGGGGAAGGGGTGGCGCCCTTGGGGGTCAGGGGTCCTCGTGCGGGCTCGGGGTTCCCGAGTTCTGCAGGGGCTGGGGTCGCAGCTCCCGGCTCAACCGGGAAACCAGAGCGTGCGCGCGCGGGGGGGATTTTGTGAATGGGAAGGCCCGGGGTCAGGCTCCATGGAGACACCGGGGAGTCCCACGAGCTGCGTGGCGACGGCGGCAGCGGTGGTGGTGGTGATGGTGGTGGTGGTGGTGATGGTGGTGGCGGCGGCACAATGCCTGGCTCTGGGAACTCCCAGACTAGGGGAAGCCGTGGCGCGCGGAGATCCCGGCCCGCGGGGCGCATCTGGGAGGCGGCCCCAACCCGCGCGACTGGAAGCAGGGTTGGCGACCCTGCTGTGCTGCGGCGTGAGATTCTCGCCACTCCCAGGCCAGGGAGGGCTGCTGGGGTCCAGCGGAAGGAGAGCTGTTCGAGGGACTGATGACCCTAAGGAGTTGTGGGAAGGCTAAGGTCTCCCTTGGCTCCCTCGGGAGGACCAGGGCCCGTAGCGCCCCGGCGTGCGTGGAACAGCGGCGGGCGCGGGTAGCGTGCAGGGCCCTCCAGCTTGCGAACTGGGGGCGCTCGGGGCCGAGTCTTCCCAGCGGCGTGAGCATGGATCTGAGGCTGCTGCTCGCTTCTGCACAGCTAAAGGGCTGGGACAGCCTGGCTGGGGAAGCCTTGCTAAGGTGGCCTGCACAACCCTGGCCCAAACTTTCTGACGAGTGGCCCCAGAAGGCTGCGGGGTTCGCCTGGGGCTCTTCTCCTCGGGAGAGCGGCGTCAGGGGTGGCTTCAAGTCGGCGGTCATTTGGGGGCTCTGCGAGGAAGCTTCGCTCTTATCCGTTGGCACGCATCCCCTCAGTGTTCCGGTCGATTAGGTCCAGCACCCATTCTGTACCCGGAGCAAAGCTCTGAGGCGACCAGAGGGGCATTGAGACCCCAGTAGACAGCTGGAGCGGACCCAGGATGTTGGGTCTCACATGGGGTTGGGGGTTGGCTGTCCCTGGAACTCACTGACGTCGTCTGTTGTGTGTGTTGGGGGGGCAGCGTCGAGTTGAGGAGAGTACTGGATGGCAGCGCCCCTTCCCTGCTCCCTCTTTCGGGTTTTGCTTCTTAGAGGCACTCTAATGATTTGACGGTCACTTTTAAAAAGGACGCCCGTGGCGCTGGTAGTCTCTTGATGCGCGAGACACCCACAGTGGCCAGGGACTGAGAGATCCTTCCTTCTTCTGGACAAGTCCCTTCTTCATCCGACTGGAGGTGAAGTGCCTTCTGGTGTGCGCAGGTCGTTAATTTTCTGTCACAAACGCTGGCTAGGCTGGGGACGCCTCGGGCGCGCACCAGGGAGTCTGGGTTCCAGAGTGCCTGAGCAGGTATGGGGCTAATGGATGAGTAGGGGCTCAGGTAATGAGATCTTTCAGCAGAAACCAGCTTTTGTTTTACTGGTCTGCAAAATATAATGCGGGGAAAAAAGTACAAACATCACAGCAGAACGCGCTCATTAAGTACGCATCGCGGATGGGGCGGATGTCTTAATCAGGCTGTGCTGGTAACGGGGATATTACACTAATTAAAACCAGACCCTCCAGGTGAGCGACTATTGGGAAGGAGAAAGTTGTAGAGAAGGCGCCTGCTTGTGGAAGCCGGGCGCTGGCGGCTGCCCGGCGGACAGGGCCGCTGCAGGATGGCCTCATGGGGCACCCTTCTCAGGGCCAGCCCCTAAGTCTCCCGCCTGCAGGGAGCTCCCCTGGGCCTGGAGGGAGGACCAATCTGCCTCCTCCGCCCTCCCGGGGGACCAGAGGCCTCCCTGCGTGGGAGCTGAGCTCACTGCACACTCAGGGGAAGCAGGGCTTAACCCCTCCTTTCCCGGCTGGGCTTGGAGCTTCTGGGAATGCTGGGCTGTCTCTGCGCGGGTGACAGAGTGGGTAGATGGGGAACCCACAAGAGGCTAAGGAGCCGAGGTGGAGCTGCAGGGGGCGCATCAGGCCCCATCAGATGATCTCAGGGAGGCAGCTGAGTGCCACGGGAGGGTTGGCCAGGTCGTGTAGGATGTTTGCACAGATCCACTGAGGATTTCTGCTTGCCCTCCCTCCCATTCATTCCAATGAAAGAAAACCCAGACAGATACTCTGTGCCATCCTCCCTGAGGCCTGGAGTCCAAGAGATACCCGCGTGGGCCCCCCTCCCCCCACAAATCAGGTCGCCTAAGACATAGGAAGAGCCCGCAGTCTAGGAAAGTCCCTATAGATCGGGCCTCTAGCAATGTTGCTCCTTCGCCTTCCCTGCAAACGCTCCAAGCTCAGGCAGAGCCGCTGCGTGTCTGGGTGAATTTACTGCCCTTCCACAGGGAACAGGCTAAGGAGCTAAAGCAGACTCGCTCGGAGCCGTGCAGAGGGCGGCAGCACCAAGGACAGGGACAGGGCCTTGCTGCCTCTGTGTCCCACTATCCTGCTACCTTTGCCTGTGTCCTGGGGCCCCTGAGACCCTGGGCATACTGGTCCTACCCTGCTTGGAGGGTAGAGGAGGAGACCCTGTGCCACCAGGGTTAGGGCAATCCAGGCCATCACAGAGGTAATTACAGCAAGGAGGCCTCCTGGGAACTGTTCCCCAGTGTGCCTGGGCCTTGGGGCAAGCCACCCAAGAGAGATGGAAAGACTAGGGAATGAGCTGGAATCCTGCTCCCTCGCTGTATAGACACCAGAGGCCTTGCTCCTCGGGGTGAGGGTCTGGTTGGTTTGCCCTCCCCTCCCCCACAATGCAGAACATCTTTTGGACCTGGATAGACTGTGGGGTTAAACAGGAAGACTTGGGTAGAGCATCTGCCATACCCAGACGTGCTGGGTGGGGAGGAATGGGGGGGGGGGGGGACAGAGTGGTGGGCGGTCACCGGGACGGTGAGGGGAGGCGGATCTGTCGGTGGGCATGGATCAAGATTGAAATGTTGTTTCTCGGTGACAGCGGCATGAGGCTCACCTCCCCCAGTCCATCCGGTGAGCTTGTAGCTTTGGTGGGTTGTCTCTCTGTTTATTTATCTCCTTCACTCCTGCCTGGTACTCTGTTATAAAGACAAATGGAGCCTGGCACGCAGCTGACGCATGGCGAGGAATTTTTTATTTTTAAACAAGGGAAGGGGGGGAAAACCACCTCCAAAGTTTCCCCCTTTCACGGAGCTGTTTCTGCCGGGGAGCCCGCCTCTCCCTGTGTCCTCGCCTGCTGCAGGTCTCCCTGCCTGCGTGGGCCCCAGCTTCACAGACGCCTCCCCTTTGTACCAACGTCTTTTTGATTAGCTGCCTGCCACCCCTTATTCGCTTCTGAGAGCAGCCTGATATTTTCACGGGTTCATGAAACATTCAGTCAGCCTAAACATCTTGTTTTCCTCAGCCTCTCTGAAGTCAGCTGCCATCGGAGGCGGCGGGGTCTCTTTTTTTTAAATTTTACGTTCTGCCTCAGTCTCCTTCCCTCAACCCCTTCCCTGTGTTTTCTGGGCTGGACCGAGGCTTCGAGGATTTCCTGCTGTGTTACCCGTGAGAGTCAGGGTTAGCCGCCGCTGGTGGGATGGGTGGAGAGGTCTCGAGGCGAGCAGTGGGGCCTGCTCCATGCCGGGAGTCACAGCTAGAGGACCGACATTCTGACAGGAACGCCCAGGGACCCAATCCGATGCACCTGATAATCACGCTCTTCCGTGCGGTGCTCTTAGTAAATTACTGTGTTATCACAGCTTCCCCAACACTCACTTGACACCAAAACATGCCTCAGAAGGTGACTCGGGATAATGAAGAGTATTAAGATCTGCCACTGCATACGAGAATGGTTCCTCGGGCAGCCTGGGGCAAGCTGAAGTGCGCACACACGCATTGCGTTCGCACAGAGGTTGGAATCTGGAGGGAGAGGCTGAGCTGGCTGCCCCCAGTTCAGGACCCGTGGTGAAGGGTCCTTTGTGAGCAATGGCCAGCAAGAGGAGGCGGCGTGGCTTGGGGGGGGGTGTCTTTTGCTTTGGGGGGGTCTGTTCTAGTCTGCTTCTCCACCACTGTGATAAGACTCTGGCCAAAATGAGGCCCGAAGAAGAGGTTTGTTACCCCTCACAGAATACAGCCCATCATTTAAGGAAGTCTCGCAGGAACTCAAGAAGACACCACGGGGGAGGGCTTCTTCGGGTTGCTCAGCTGCCTTTCTTATACAACCCAGAACTACCTGCCCCAGAGATGACATCCCCCCCCCATCATTGGGCTGGGTATCAATTAACGATGAAAAAGAAGTCCTACAGACAAGCCCTACAGGCCAAGCTGATCTGGGTAGGCTCCGCATGTGAGGTTCCCTCTTTCCGGGTGGCTCTAGGTTAATGGCTGGTGTTAACCGCGCCAGGGTCTCTCAGAGAGCGCCTTCCTGTGGGATTTGGGTCTGTAGACATGAGGTATTTGTATCTGTGTTTTTCAGAAGCAAAGCAGAGCTCTGTGGGAGGGGCTGGGTTTCTACAGGCCAAGGTTCTTGTGCCTCTTGGCTTCCCTGGCTGCATGTCATCTGGCTGCCGCTGGCTCCAGGTCTGAGGGACAAGCTCTCCATACCCTCCTGCCTCCATCTGCCATCTCTCTTGATTGCTTGGCAAGGAGGCCATGGCACAGAGGCGGTGGTGGAGGGGGGGTGAGGGGATGGCAGAAAACAAGGATGAGTTGGGCTGTTTTCCCCCCCACCTCCCCAACACACACTCCCAGGGAAAGGAGCTATGAGCTATGGAAACCTCTTTAGGAGTAAAACTGGAAAAACAAACCAAACCAAACCAACAAACAAACTTCCTTTGTATCCAGTCTCTATTCC